AATCATTTCCTGTATGGTATCTCAGTTCTACTCTCTCAGTTTATGACTGAAGTTATTTCTTTGAAGCCACCTATGCAACAATATAGCTAAAGCCCCCTCCAAGATTTAACCTACAAAGTTCTCTACACCAATTTTCTGACAAACCCTTAACGGTGCCTGTTTCTTTGGGAACTCCCAGAAGCTTCATGGAGTCACCACCATCCCAATCTAAAAGTTTGCTAAAATCCTTCAACTTTGATCCCTAGAAATACCAACACAACATCTAAGGAATTTCTGTCCCCAAAATTTCATCCTTTCCTGTGGCTCCTTTTCAGGGTTGACTACTCATTGTTACATGCTCATACACAATTGCATTCTTTTCTTTCAAATTTCCTAACTCAGTTATACATTTGTATATGTGTGTGTTTTAACACAGTGTTTTTGTCCCCAGTAAACTGGAGATTCTTTAAAGGCCTAAATAAATGGAACACTATTATGTAATTCACTAGTTTTGATATTTTCATTTCCTTTATACCATTAACGTAAGTAAATCCCCAAATTTTTCTAGGACATCTCTCTTACCAAACCTATATTTTTTAATTAATTCACTATGATTTGTGAATAGAGTAGGGAAAGGGAGGGAATTAATACTATATTTGTTTAGTGCATATTCTATATCATAGACTCATTGTATATTATTTCATTTGATGCTAACAACAAGCCTGTGATGTATATGTATTCCATATGCCACTTGATTCCTTATAAAACAGAGGTTAGGAACCCATAACTAGGAATGCATAGAATTTTAATTCTTTCTCCAAAGTAATCTTGTTCCAAAGCTGTGTGATCTTTCTACCAGGTATACCACCTTCTCAAAGGCTCAGAATTAAAACCCACCATTGGGAGCTCTAGGAGCTCTGGTAGCATAGTGCCAAAAGCACTTGACTGCTCACCAGAAGGCTGGCGGTTCAAACCCACCAGCCACTCCTCGGAAGGAAGGTTGGGCAATCCTACTTCCGTAGTGATAGTGCCTCGGAAACCCAAGGAGGGGTCACTATGAGTCGGGGCCGACTCAACGGCAAACAACAGCAACAACATTGGGAGCTCTGGTAGCATAGTGCCTAAGGCACTTGACTCCTACCCAGAAGGCTGGCGGTTCAAACCCACCAGCCAGTCCTCAGAAGGAAGGTTTGGCAATCTACTTCCGTAGTGATACTGCCTCGGAAACCCAAAGAGGGGTCACTATGAGTCAGGTCTGACTCGACGGCACATAACAACAACAACATTGATTCATTGAGCCATATTCCTTCTTTCCCTCCCACTCTTCTCCATGGGGAAAAAGAATTGGCCACATGCAAGCTCTTTTCGAGCTGATGGGTAGAAAGTCCACTGGCAAATAATTAAACATTAATTAAAAATAATAGCATAATAAACTTTTTGAAAACTTATATACTTGTTCAGTTCTTGCCTAACCTAATTATGATTTTTGTTATCAAAAACTCTAGGTCTTTGAAATGATTTACAAGTGGTTCTTAAGATAATGATTCCCTTATTATTATTTTTTCCATAATTTTAAAAAATGTGTTTGACCTATTTAAATTGTAGAGGATTTCAGTTTATATAAACTCCTTTTAATTCCTTGTCAAGATCTGTGTATCGCAAGTTCTACTGGGAAATAATGTAATTGCAATTACAGGCATCTCACATTTTGTAAACAGTTTGCATTCCAAGGGTTCACTTGTTAGTTGTTTGGAATCAGTGCGTATTTTCCCATTGACCTAATCTAATAAGAGATGGTGATTTCCCAAGATGGCATGCCCTTGTCCTCTCATCCTACCCCCTACTGCCCCCATACATACCCCAAAACAACAACAAAGCAAAGAGTGTGATTAAACCAAAGTGAATAACAACATTAACTTTCCTGGCCTGAGCTCTAGAGCCTGATGGGGAAGGGCTTTGTAATTTGATGAGGAGCAACAATCCCACAGGTAAAGGTTGATGTCCCATAAAGAAAAGCTGCCCCTGTCTGGGAGGTTGCTCCAGATCAGCATCCCAAAAGTTTTCCTACATTTTTTAGACTCTTCTCTTTCTACATTTTTGAAATCACTGATTTCTCCACATGTAACTGAGTGAAAGAAAGAGAAGAAAGGACAAAATTTCATATTCATTGGCAGGTGCATAAAGTGTAGACTCTCTAACATCTAGGTATTTGGTATCAGGTGAGTGCTGAAATGGCACCACCTCAAATGTTACTTCCATCACTCAAGCTTTGAAATTACTTGGAAGTTATATTTTTCTTAGCTTATTTTTCCTCCCACTCTACTTAAAATTCTTCTTATATGGAAAATAATACAAAAAAAAAAAATTCTTTTCTTTTGTTGTTTTTACATGCTGTCGAGTCGGACCAGACTCTTAGCAATCCCTCCTTGGGTTTTTGAGGCAGTATCACTACAGAAGTAGACTGCCCAACCTTCCTTCTGAGGAGTGGCTGGTGGGTTTGAACCACCAGCCTTTTGGTTAGCAGTCAAGTGCCTTAGGCATTATGCTACCAGGGGTCCTCTTTCCTTTTATATTATAATATTTATATTATTTTATATGTAATATTTTTAAAGCAAGTTCCCTTTTTGAAAATTTCAAATTCATAACTAACCTTCAAAGTATCATGTTTTTTGTCATACCAGTTTTATGAATGGAAAAAAACAAAACAAAAAAAGAAACCTGAAGAGTTGGGACACAAGGGTCAAAAAATAGCCTGTATTCTAGACCTTCTGTATGCCAATTACAAGGCTATTTGTTTCATTTTTATTCTGTTAGTCACTCATTTCCACTATCTTAGATTTAAACTCCATAAAAAGTATATCATTTTTATTAGTACCAAGGATACTATCTAGCACTTAGTAGGCACCCAATAATTGCTGAATGAGTGAATTTCAGCTACCTAAATAATCCTGGCAATACCTAAGCTATGGATATCTACTAGTTGAAAATAAGGTTTCAAACTGCCTTACATTTATAAGAGGCAGCATCGAGTAATGATTAAAAGCTCAAGCTAATTTGCCCTGTTAGTTTATGCTAACATGTTAGATTAAACCCTGAGTTGCTGGAACCTCCAATGTGCAAAGTCATAATTGTTGATTTTAGAAACCAGGACACTGGTAGTAATACAAGAAAATATCCCAAAGGATTATTGGCTTCTTGTCACTCTTCCTGTGTTTTACACTTAAAAACGGTTGTCATATTTGGTAAAGAATTATGCAGTTGCACAATAACTGACCCACAAAAACAGGCAAAAATGTCAGAACTTTACTTCCCAAATCTGTGGCCCATTAGAGACTGTGAAGAGTTTTTTGGGATAAGAGACTTGAATCAAAATTTTAGCTGATTTCTAGATTGCCTATACTTAGAATTCAGTTGATTTCTTGTATTAATTTAACTCTATTCATTAAAAGAAATGAGGTCACAGAAACATAGCCTATACTCATCATGCTTGGGATAGAACAAGATGATGTTATTTTTCTATCCAGATTTTCAGACACAGACTATAAAGGCCAAAACCAAAGTTGACTGTTATACCAAGGCCACTTACAGGTAGAGGACATCCCTAAGAATTCTGGGAGGAAAAACAAAATAAAACAACAAAAGAGAATAAATAAATAAATTCTCCAACAGCTATGCTATATTTCCTTCATAAAAAAATAGTCTTAATTCTGTCATAGGCTTATGCTTTAAATGATAATTAATTTTCATCAAACTTCTAATATAAGGGATATATTGCTCATGCATGATTTCAATTAATCGATCCTCACCAAAACTCTATAAGGCAACCACTATTATTTTGAAGAAATTGAACCCTAATACTTCCATGGTCCCACAAATAGAAATTTACTTAGCTAGGACTCAAAGAGAGGTTGTTGGAATCCAGGACCCATGCACTTCTCCTTTGTACTATTCTACTTCCCCAAGTACCATAGTTGCATGTGTTGGCACCATGAGCAAACTGTAATGAAAAATCCTGCCTCTATTTCCTTGTTTGTGCCTGGATTGCTACCTTTCTCTTCTGTATCTTATGAAACAGCCTATTTGATATTAACAGATAGTAAGAATGCAAATGAAAAAGCTGTGAGCACACAATGTGTAGAATAGGAGCCACAACGGGCACCTTGGAGTGGGCCATGAGGGATTCCTGAAATAGCAATTTGCTATGGATGGTGTGAGTCTTGTTTTCATTAAAAGTAGTTTTAAGGAGAAGTTATTACATGTATTGCATCCCATCCTCTATCCCACCCCTTAACTCATATGCTCCATCCACCTGGAAGGGTACAGGATTCAGATCTTGGTTAGTCCCCCAAAAAAGATAGCCAGGGAAGGTCTCTATGGAAGAATCCAGAGAGTCATTTCATACAGTAATATGGAATTTGAGCACTCTCTAGCCACCCCTCTAGCTCCCAAATCATTTCACAGCCTTAGTAAAAGAGAGGAAAGAGATTTACCTGCTGCTATTGAGGCTGAAGCCTGAAAGTCATGTATAACCTTTGAAGGATTGTAATGGTTTTAATCACAGGAATGGCATCTTTTGACAGGCAGGAGAGAGAAAAGAGCTGAACCGCTCTGAAAATATTAACCAGGCTATTTTGGAGCAATGGCTATTGCCTTTGAAATCTTTCATCATGGGTCTATACTTAGAATTCAGATGGGCCTGGGGGAGGGGAATGGGGCTGTGTTAATCCCCAGTTGTTTTGAAGTTGTCCTGTAAGCAGTTAGTAACTAAACCATCCAAAATGCAAGCCGTCAATGCTTTGTTCAAATTGTGTGATTCTCTATATTTTGTTTTAACTTTTTCTGCATATAGATTGTCACATCATTGGGGGGGGGGGTGGTCACCGTTCAGTGTTCATTCAAACTGGACGCTCTGGAGTGTACTGGCTGTAATCACGTTGGGAGACTGATGCTCCATGACAGCTAAAAGTTGGATTGAGTTTCAGGAGCTACTATATATAAAGCTGGGACGACTTATGTCACCACACTAATTAAATGCCATCTGGGTGGTTCCTCTGGGTTTTTGAGCCCATCACCCTGTTCAGACCGAGTCAGAGCCCAAGGAGGAGAACATGATGATGGACCTTTTTGAAACTGGCTCCTATTTCTTCTACTTGGACGGGGAAAATGTTACTCTGCAGCCATTAGAAGTGGCCGAGGGCTCTCCTTTGTACCCAGGGAGTGATGGTACCCTGTCCCCCTGCCAGGACCAAATGCCCCCGGAAGCCGGGAGTGACAGCAGCGGTGAGGAACATGTCCTGGCGCCCCCGGGCCTACAGCCTCCCCACTGCCCCGGCCAGTGTCTGATATGGGCTTGCAAGACTTGCAAGAGAAAATCTGCCCCCACTGACAGAAGGAAAGCTGCCACTCTGCGCGAAAGGAGAAGGCTAAAGAAAATCAACGAGGCCTTCGAGGCACTGAAGCGGCGGACTGTGGCCAACCCCAACCAAAGGCTGCCCAAGGTGGAGATTCTCCGGAGTGCCATCAGCTACATTGAGCGGCTGCAAGACCTGCTGCACCGGCTGGATCAGCAGGAGAAAATGCAGGAGTTAGTTGTGGACCCCTTCAGCTACAGACCCAAGCAAGAAAATGTAAGCCCAGATGCTCTCCAGGCAGGGAAACGCAAAGGCTTATTAAACGCCTTCCTCCCCGCCTTAACCTCCAGCTGCTTGTTCTCCTCTCCCTTTCCCCTTCCTTTCCACCCCCTCTGTAATGAACCCCCAGTGACCCGTAAAGCTGGGGTGCCGGCCATATGCAGGAAATGTGTACGGGGCCCCCAGAAAGCAGAGAGACACCCCCAGCCCCGGAACTGATGTTTCTTTCCTAATCTCTTGCTGCTTTGGTTTTCCCTTCAGCTTGAGGGTGCGGATTTCCTGCGCACCTGCAGCTCCCAGTGGCCAACTGTTTCGGATCATTCCAGGGAGCTCGTGATAACTGTCAAGGAAGGTAAAGTAAAAGAAACGGTATTGGGCTGCGACAGAGAACCTCCTGGGAGGGGACTCAGGGTGAGCGTCCAGATCAGGACTCTGAGCGCAACTGGGGACGCACCACCCAGCACCCCCACCACCCCGGGAGAACGGCGCTCCTTGCGCGCAGGGACCTGTCTTTCTGTGCTTCCGAAGCCGCCTCGCGCTGCGCGCGGGCCGCCTCATATTTCCTTCTTTGGGCGTTATGTTAGGGGGTGTATGTGTTTTGTTTTCTGTGCTCAGGCGGGCCAAGTATTGATTCGACGGCCTCCAGTAGCCTTCGATGCCTGTCTTCCATCGTGGATAGTATTTCCTCCGAAGAATGTAAACTCACCGGCGTGGAGGAGGTGGTGGAGAAGTAACTTCGAGCAGAGCCTGCACTTGAGCCATCCTCTACAAAACAGGAAGATCCACCCACTCTCCTTCGCCTAATCCATCGGATTAGGTCACATTACAGTGATATTTAGGAACTCACACCCGGGAGTTTATAACAAAGAAGGAGACACAGTCACAAAAGAAACGTCTTGGAAACTGTTGTACACACTCAGATGAAAAAGCCCTTTGGCTTAGGGTTTTCATTTTTGGAACAGCTAGTGATTTAGGTCTAGCACCCTTACTTTGGTTGGTTGGTTTTGTCATATATTAACTTTTATTAAGGTGATTCTTTAGTGCCATGTTCCAAAGAAGTTCATTCCTGTCTAAAGCAAAGTTACAACATTGCTTTTCACTGTTAGTGTTATTTAATGTATTTTTTTTTGTAAATATTAGTACTTTCCTTTTATATGTAAACCTAAGAAATATGTTTTAAATGTGGAATGGCATATTGTATATAAAATGTGCGAGGATCCTAGTATTGTGATATTAAAAAAAAGTTTCTATATGAACAAAGTTGTTCTAAACTTGATTCAATTGCTACATGTTGGACTATATGAACGTACTCAGTATAAGCACATTACAAATATGTTTGAGGGCATTCGTATGGAAATAAAGAGAAGCCCGTATTTTAGACACCACACAAACCCATTTATTTAGGTGTTTTCTTTACAAAACAGGTGGTTTTCCTTTGTCTAAGTTAAACTGGACATTTCTGTCTCAAGTAAATATCCATAGTTGTGGTCAGAAGTAAAGAGTATTGGAAAGTCTGTACTCACTTCCTTTGATTAGAGTCTTCCTACCTCCTCTCCAGCCCCCCTTCCCCCCAGTTTGTTTGGTACCTGGAGCTCCGAATGATACTTACTTATCTAAAGTTACCATCTGAATTTTCAATCTGGTGAAATCTTATTGTTGCCAGACATTGCTACACAAAACTTTTTGTTTACTTCCTTAAAAGATTTTCAATTGAGTTAGCCCAAATAGATTTCCTTCTTTGACTTTCCAGAATACTTCCTTATCTGGAGTATTCAGAGGCATCACTGGCCTTCTAAGCAAGTTTCTGGCCCTCTCCCTACTTTTCTTGAACTAAACTGGTGGCAGAAACCACAAAACCAAACCAATGGTTTGGTCAAGTCAATTCCAACTCATACTGACCCTATAGGGCAGATTAGAACAGCCTCATAGGTTTTCTAAGGCTGCAATCTTCAACAAAACTCCTGTGGAGCACATGATGTGTTCAAACCATTGACCTTTAGGTTACTAGCCCAGCCCTTTAACCATTGCACCACCAGGGTTCCTTGGAGTGGTTGCTATGCCAGAGGCTCATGTGGCTTGGGTTTGTTTTCCAAATATCAAGAAGCAAGCAATCTGTCCCTTGAAGTGGGAGGGCTTCTTTGAAAGGAAGATTTTTCCAAGAGAGTGAAGGGTTAAATGGTTGAGGGCAAAAGACAACAACAACACACATGAAACCTCTTAGCTGGGCCAAACAGCAAAGCTGAAGAGAGGCTTGAAGCCCCAGGAGCTGCTCATCGTGAAGATTTTACAACGTGTGCCAAGTTTGTTTACCCTGTAACCTCAGAAAGAAACGACCACCAAGAAACACAGTGGGAAGTGAAGCAGGGAGAGGAGAAAGCCATTTCATTTGAATTGCTATTTCTCTCTTACATCCTGTAAATGGCACTTTCTCTCCCTTCTTACTCCCTCCTTAATTCTACCTTATCCTTCTATCACACACAGCAAATCTCCAGGTCACAGAAGAAAAAAAAAAAATTAAACCAATTCAGTATTTCACAACCCAACCTTTCTTTCCAACCCTCCAAAAGGTGGACCTTGGCCCTCAACACATCAGAAGTTTCAGAAACCATCACAGAGAGTGCCCCCTGCAGGCAGGGAGCAGTAGTATCTTATCCCTCTTTCCATTTGAGACAAGAAGGCCTCTTGCTGGGGGGTTATAGTTACTTTGTTTTCTAAGCATATTGATAATTTGAGTTTCTTCTAGAATACTTTTAAAAAACATAAGGTTCACAGAGGAAAGTGACATTGAGCATATAATCCCCCTTAAAGGTGTTTGGGAGCTCTGGTGGCCTAGTGCATTTGACTGCTAACCAGAAGCCTGGCGGTTCAAACCCACCAGCTACTCCTCAGAAGGAAAATGGAGCAATCTACTTCCGTAGTGATACTGCCTCGGAAACCCAAGGAGGGGTCGCTATGAGTCGGATCTGACTCAACGGCACATAACAACAACAACAAAACAACAACAAAGGTGTTTGAGAGAAGCAGGTAGTTAAGTGGATGCGAAGAGCTGAGCCTCTGTTGGGTTAACTACCTAGATTGAATCCAGGCTACTACTGTGTGTTCTTATACTGTTAGGTGTCGTAGAGTCAGTACTGACTCATAGAGACCCTCTGTACAACCAAACCTGGTCCTCACAATCATTTCTATGTTTGAGCCCATTGTTGTTGCCACTGTATCAATCCATCCCATTGAGGGTCTTCCTCTTTTTCTCTCACCCTCAACTTTACCTACCTGATAACATGTCCAAAGTATGTGGGATAAAGTCTCACTATCCTAGCTTCTAAGGAGCATTCTAGCTGTACTTCTTTCAAGACAGATTTGGTTGTTCTTCTGGCAGTCTGGCAGTGTATGGTATATTCAACATTCTTAGCCAACACCACTCATCTGTTAGTTTGTCATATTGTGGTGGCTATGATGCTGTAAGCTATGCCACCAGTATTTCAAATACCAGCAGGTCACCATGCTTGGTGGACAGGTTTCAGAGAAGTTTCCAGCGTAATACAGACTAGGAAGAAGGACATAGCAGTCCACTTCTAAAAAAACTGGTCACTGAAAACCTTATGAATAGCAGTGAGTAGCTGCTATGTAGCCCTGGACAAATCATTGATTTTCTCTCTTACTCTTGTTTTCTTGTTTATAAAATAATGGGGACAATGATAGTACTTAACTCCTGAGGTGGTGGAGATTCACTGAGATAAAACATGTAAGGCATTTAGCCAAAACAGGGCACAAAATAAACACCAAATGTCAGCTTTCTTTATTTTTTTAATGAATCTAAATTGACTATCAAGAGACTTCTACCAAAATCTACAGTCCTTCAGACTGTTCTCCAGTCAGATGGCTCTGTGTGGGGGAAAGTACTAATAACAATGAGACTAGCAGTCATGTGAATGAGCCATTCCTAGCCTTTTACATATCAACTCATGTAATCTTACAAGGAGCTCTGGTGGTGCAGTGGATAAAGCATTGGTGGCTAACCAAAAGTTGGAGGTTTGAACCACCAACCATTCCTTGGGAGAAAGATGAGGCAGTCTGCTTCCAGCAAGAATTACAGCCTTGGACTTGTGCTGTATGGGACTAGTCTATCCTGTAGGATCGCTATGAGTCTGAATTGACTCCATGACAGTGCTTTTTTATTATTATTATTTTACTTATTTTTTAAAATCTTACAACAACCTAGGAGAGCTACTGTTGTTACTTCTATTATGGAGAGAAGGATCCTGCTGAACAGACAGGTTCCAGTATTTGGTAAGCATAGAGTTAACCCTTGGGGCAGCCAATATGGATGGCTTTGAGCCTGTGCTGTCAAACACCAGGCACCCTCAAAGGAAGGCCTTGGGAAATTAAGAAGGAACATTTTATGGTCTGTAGAATAATTTGGGTCCATTTGACAGTTGGCTCCAAACAACTCTCAAGAGTGACTGGTTAGTGAACTCTGAATTAGAGCTGCAACTTTCATTTAAAAATAAGTAATAAAGCATTTCAAATTATCTATCAAGAACATGTGTGGATATTTTTGGGTGGTGTGTATGTCCATTAATCATGTTTATTATGTATTTACAATTTTTTTTTCCTGAGAGTTAATACAGATTTGCCCTAAAGTGTATGTATATGTGCATATATATATATATGATTTATTCTACAACTGAAATAAAAAATCATAATTGACAAAGTGAATTCATTTACATTATTATCACACACATCTTAAGATTCATGATATAATCTTCTCAGCAGCAGAGTGTTTTAATGAAACCATGGTCTTTACTTGCTGATAGATTTTATTCAGTTTTTGTAAACAAAATCACCTCTATCTCTCTCAGATGGGTAACTTGAGAAATTGTTTGGAATAAGTTTTCCTAAAGAAGTCTCTTCATTAAATAGAGAAAATATTTCCCAAAGACTTCATGTGACCTCTGCTGCTGTAGCTGACATGTTAGGCTTTCCAAATGAAATCCTTGGTGTGTTTGCAATTAAAATGTTTTTGTTTGCTAATAATGATGATAATCTTTACCAAGGCCAAAGCCAAAACAAACAATGCTATGGAAGCAGAAAGTCAAGAAGTAATAGCTTGGTAAAGATAAGAAGTTTGGCGTTTAATTTGAGCCTCTTTCCAGGGGCAGGTATAAAATTATCAAGTAAAAAATAATGAGTGATTTTCTTTTTATATTACTGTAGGATGTGGAATGTCAAACATCAGCTTTCTCAAAACAACTTTAATCACCACATCTGGGTCATTGAATACCAAGCCTGAACTTTGTGGAAAACCACTGATGACCAGTAACCTCATTTTTTTTTTTTTTTCCTGGACTCTCATATGCTTTGGGTCAGAGAGTATGAAAATAGAGTTAGCCAACTGCTCTTCAGACTGGTAGAGAAACCCTGGAAACGAATTTGGTTTCTATCCTTATTAAGACAGTTTAAGTTTAAAGTTAGAAGAATTCACCCATTTGTGCTTTTCTGTTAGTAATCTTTTATCCCACTTCTTCATCACAAAGCCCCTCTCCTTCAACACCAAATCTGAGGGGAAAGAAATTTTATTTTTAACTTTGAATATCTCAATTACTAATCTAATGCATTAGTACATTAGCAATAATATGATATTTTCTCAAATAGTTAAGCCATCAAGACAGTCCCCTATAGGTCCATCTAGACACTATCTTAACCTCAAAAGAAGTGTATCACTAGGGAATGGGGGGGAAGGGGGCAAATTTTTGGCAAGCTTAGTTCCAAGTCAGTTTCTGGGATGGAATGGCTATGCATGTGCTGAAACAAAGATAATACTGCAAGAACTAGCTACTTTCTCTACTCTCAAGGCTGCTAAAAGTCCTTACTTAGGCCTTTGATCTCTCCTGGGAGCCTTCGAATCCAAGCAGAGGCCAATGTCTTCCTCAGCTGTCTTCTCCACAAATTCTTCCAGCAGCTCTGGCAGGTACTAATGTGTTTACTTAGGTGTGCCTGGTTCCCAGCGCTAAGCAGTTCACATTGTTTTGCACATTTTGAAGTCATCTATAATAAGCAAAAATCTCAAGAATAGCTCTCGGTCCAGGAATAAGCTGGTAGTAACCTACAGGTAGGGTAAAAGTGAGTTGAAATGGATTTATCTTTCTACTTATACTTGGTTTTTCTCACAGAGATAACCTTGGGGCATTTTGAATAACACAGAATTCCTGGTATGCACAAAATTTACCAAGAAAGAAAGTCTGGGCATCATTTGAATGGTGTGGTCGTCCATCAACACCAGGATTATTGCCACAATGCTTAAACCATAATAGTTTATGTTTAAAAAAAAGTTGACAATTACTTAAAGGTCTTTGCAATTAAAACCAACATATATGTCTAAAATGGAAGAAAATCAAACATGCTGCAGTTGTCTTTTTCAGAGTGTAAAATTAAAAACATATTTAGACAATACATTATCTAGTTTTCCAGAGTCATGGTGAGTTTTCTTCCTATATTAAGAGATGTCCCTAATAGCCAGTAATGGAATATCATTCCTAAAAGCTTATTTATACTTTATATAAATGTGATCTTTTCTCTGCATGGTAGAAGTTCACTTTTCTGGCAAGACTGTGGAAAGCACATTATATTTAGATACTTTTCTGTACGGAGCAAAAGCCAATATAGTCAAAGTTGAGTAAAGGACAAATTGATAACTACTTTTTACAGTGATTTTTACCTTTTCCATACTTTCTGTTCAATTTCCTCATTGAAAAAAAAAAAAAAAGATTTTTCTCTCCCTCGGTCATCCAGTCTCATTTTTGTTGTCTCTCGCTGTGGCCTCTGGGCGAAGCACAACGGATTGCTCCTGAATTGAGGCACCTCGACGATGACGGAGGTGCTGGCTTGCTTCTGTCGCTGTATTGCCTCCCGATTGTTGATCTCTTTCTTGTCTCATCCCCTGACAGCAGTTTAAAAGTTTTGTCTCCTGTTTTACTTTGGTGCACTGGGAAAGTATTTTCAGCACTCAAATCCCAAGGGCCCTCAACCCCTGGACCCCGTTCCCCTCCTAGCAAGTCCCATTAAGCCGTCGGGCGCTTGTGTTTCTCGGCTTCTTTAGTTCAGGTCTCTGGTAAATTTGTTTTGAGATCACCTTACCAAAGACAGCCCTAACCTCTGAGAGCTACCATTACTGACAGTCTCCTGAGTGACAGCGTCTTCCCAGGGACAGAGCGGAGGGAAAGATGTCTGGTTCCTCAGCTTTCGAGAGTCTCTGCTCAGGCGCTAAGGTCGTGCGCTCTCATCTCAGACTGAAAGAAGAAGAAAACCAAAAAATCCACCTCTTGGAGTGCAAGCTTTGGTCATTAGATGCCTACTTTCCAATCCTGTGTGATCTGGGGCAAATAACCTAGCCCCTCTGAACTTTGGGAGCTCTGGTGGCCTAGTGCCTAAGGCATTTGACAGCTAACCAGAAGGCTGGAAGTCCAAACCCACCAGCCACTCCTTGGAAGGAAGATGGGGCAATCTACTTCCCTAGAAATACTGCCACAGAAACTCAAGGAGGGGTCACTATGAGTTGAAATTGACTCCACAGCAGTGAGGTTTTTTTTTTTTTTTTTTTTTTTTTGGTTATTGTTGTTCTGAGCTTTGGTTACTTTCTTTCTAAAATGGGTCTAATAATAAATAGCTCCCCTAGGGTCATGTTGGGACTCCTTGTTGAGAGAGTATTACATGAGTTAATACTTGGAAATGATTTAGAACAATGCCTGGCAAAAATAAACTCACAATAACCATTAGTTACAAACATACCAGCTGAAGGGACTGGATAAGAAACATCATCTTAAGTGCATGGTGGGGACGGGGCGGGGGGAGAGCAGCAAACATTCAGAACCCCAACTTCTAATTTCTACTAAAATTTTAAGAACCAAAACTTTGTGGCAGAATCATAAATATGGACACATTATTTTAGCTGTGGCAAATGTACTAATGTCCATAACCCAAGAAAGTGCTCATGTTGCTGCTGACCAGAAACTCTGGGACGGGCTAAGAATTTCTGACTGAGAATATCTATCCGCTGTTGTATTTCCCAGGTAGCAAAGTGTGTACATTCGAAACTTTCTACCAGTGTGGATAGAGTCCTCCTGGGTCCTGAGGAACTTGACTCCTTTAACTGGTGTAGCCCTGGATACCGTATTCATTTCAAAGGTATCAGTCTGTTAATAGCCCTAAATAAGGTGCAGATGGATTTCCCACTGGTCAGATGATTAAGCAGCCCGTTGGTGTGTTCAGGAGCCTGATTTTTGAAGAGGAGGATCTTTTGTCTTAGGGCTGAGGGAACATGGGAGAGGGGACAGCGACGGCACGTTGCAGAAAAACCTAGTGACTATACTCGTCATTCTCCCAGCCCTGGTGTTGGTAGCCTTTGTTCCCAGAGCCCATCTCACCTAGAAAATACTTGCACCTCTCCGGTCCCTGCAGATGCAGTATCAGCCAACCAGGGTTGCTTTAGGGAAATAATTTTGCGGGGAAAATAATAGGAAACAAACAAAAAACAAACCTTCCCCCCCCCCCTCCGCCTTAACTTCGGAGCCCCAACACTTACTGGACCGGATGGCTGTAGATCGAGGTGAGAACACTCCCTCTTCTTTTATTGGGACCTCCAGTTCTGGTCCCCAAACTTGGGCTTTTTGTGTAGACATTAAGTAACTGTTTTTCCTAAATACAAACAGCCCCTCCCCAAAGTGATCTGAAAGTGGATTAAGGGTGGCAGAGAATTGGCAAACGCCAATTAAGAGATTCGTTATCACTATAATAGCGCTCCCTTCTCACCATCTCCTCACCAAAGTTTCAAAGGCCCTGCTACTATTGCTTTTCGAGAAGTCTTTTGTCGCAGATGCGTGTGAAGTTACTTGGAGTTTGAGGAGTTAGAAATTTTACACGAGCCCAAGCGAGAAGGATTGCTGGGCCGGCAGCTGGGACGCATCTGTAACGGTGTTAGTTTGCTTAAAAGCAGAAAATTAGAGACCCCAAAGCCCAGCTCGGCTGTTTAGTCTGTCGAAATGACAGGGCGGAGCAGAAAGGGAGGGAGAAAAGAGGAGCGCTTCTGGAAAGGGAGTTCACCGTCTAAAACTGGGCCTCTTTGGTTGGAAATCTTAGGGAATCAGTAGGTTCTTCGAGCTCTCTGGGTCTAGCGAAGGCCTAGCACAAGGGAGGCGTTCTGTGAATCTCTGCAGAAGGAAGAAAGAAGGGACTGTTTCCATCACCTTGCATTCCTGGGTCCACCTCCTTCTAATGAAGAACTCAGACTGAGTCCTGTCTTGGGAAAATAAACTTTTTCGCATGCTCTCAGTAACTCAGAGCCTATGAAATGATAGTCTGATTAGAATTTTATTCATCTCAATCTTTATGAAAGACTAAAGTCTCTTTGGGAGCTCTGGTAGCTAGTGCCTAAGGCACTTGACTGCTAACCAGGAGGCTGGCGGTTCAAACCCACCAGCCACTCCTCGGAAGGAAGGTTTGCATTCCATTCCTACTTCCGTAGTGTTAACTGCCTCGGAAACCCAAGGAGGGGTCGCTAGGAGTCGGGGCCGACTCGATGGCAAATAACAACAACAAAGTCTCTTTATGTTCACTTCACAATTGAAAGTATCACTTCAAATTTTTAGTAATTGTTCTTCCGTCCATGGACTCAAGAGTTCCTGAGATAACTGCAGTTCATGGAAAAGAAAAACAAACACGTAAAACATAAAGGGGATTCCCTGAGTCCAGAACTGGGGAGAAGGGTTGTTGGCCTACGGTGTCAGCTGAACGTAGGTAGTTCTATTTATTAATTACTTTTTTCAACGTGTAAGGAATTGTGAAAAGTGGGATTCCATTCGTTCCTTTTGTCTGTGACACTTCATGTGATTACTTGGTTTAGGTTATCCAGAGAGTGCAAGAGAGCTGGGAGGGGGAGAGTTCCCTACCCCCCTCTGTCCTAACAGAAGCGCAGTAAAACCATTAGCGTCAAAAGGGGCTGTAAACAGCAAATTGTCTCTGGAGAAAAGGCGGTGGTTTGCCCAGACAGCCCCGGCGGGGGTTGCGGTGGGATATGCTAATAGAGCAGGGCCTCTGGGGCCAGCCTCCCTCCCACAAGAATATATAAAGAGCCCCAACCCCAGAGCGGAGACCCAGGCCGCCAGGAGTCTGCCCTTGCGTATTACCAGAGAAACCGACCAGGGGAGCTCCCCCGCCTGGGTTTACCAGCCAGCAGCGGCACCAGGCTTCCATTTCTCCCCACCTGTCGCTGCTGTCCAGGTGCCTCCAGGACCTTCCTTTCCGCGGGAAAATGGACGTGATGGACAGTTGTCAATTCTCACCATCTGAGTACTTCTATGATGGCTCCTGCATCCCGTCCCCTGAGGGTGATTTCGGGGATGAGTTCGAGCCACGAGTGGCTACATTTGGGGCGCACAAAACAGAATTGCAAGGCTCAGACGAGGACGAGCACGTGCGAGCACCAACAGGCCATCACCAGGCCGGCCACTGCCTCATGTGGGCATGCAAGGCTTGCAAGAGGAAGTCCACCACCATGGACCGGAGGAAGGCAGCCACCATGAGGGAACGAAGGCGCCTGAAGAAGGTTAACCAGGCGTTTGAGACGCTCAAGAGGTGCACCACGACCAACCCCAACCAGAGGTTGCCCAAGGTGGAGATCCTTAGGAATGCTATCCGCTACATCGAGAGCCTGCAGGAGCTGCTGAGGGAGCAGGTGGAGAACTACTATAGACTCCCGGGACAGAGCTGCTCTGAGCCCACCAGCCCCACCTCCAACTGCTCGGATGGCATGGTAAGAGGTACCTCCGGTGCCCAGTCGGCCGCTCCAATCATTTTTTAAAAATCCTTACACTTCAATTAAACCAGATATGACAACAAAAACTCCAGTGGTTGTTGGTGGATAGGTGGAGGGCTTGGGGAGGAGTCAGTTGCTATTAGAGAAGAAAGGTGACCAGGTCTAGAAGTTTGCCAGGCAGCTGTTGAGCAGGATGTTAGTTTATCTTCCTACCAGCTTCTAGGTGTGCACTGTAGAAGTTCGGCATGCCATGTAGGTGGCAGTGAAGGGTCAATCAGATGTTTTCTCCATTACTTAGTTTATTTTCAAAATATACCACAGGCTGACCCTGACACACACTAAAGCCAACTGTAGGACATTCCCATTGTCCCACAGTTCATAACTTAATGGAGAAATGAGGAAGAAAAAAAAAAATCCCAAATTCTCCAGTCCCTACCCCACTGAAGCCTGGCTGGGAGATGTTGTTGAATACTTTTTGGAGAGCGTTTGCTCACTTGCTGCCAGGTTTTAATGTGTTTTTGCCCTGGGAAAGTGTTCTTTCCCTGAATTAGTGCGGCTGCCTTCTACTCCAATCCATTTTGCATGGTTAACCCAATGCACATTGCTGCTGAGTTCCACCCCTCTCTTTCCTGCACTGTTGCTCTCCTTTTCTCCAAGTACAGAGATTAACCTCAGTGCCCTGCCAATTTGGTGGGGGCTAACCTTTCCTAAACCAGGGCAACGAAGCTGATTAAGAGTGGCCAATTTACAGAGCTAGTGGGCACCCTAGGTCAGAGCATCTTTTGCCAAGGCCTGAAATAAACATCTCCTTGTGTCTTATATTATAGCCTGAATGCAACAGCCCTGTCTGGTCCAGAAAGAGCAGCAGTTTTGACAGTGTCTACTCTCCTGATGTACCAAATGGTAAGGACTGATAACTTCAGGGAAGTTTAAAGGCCAGTTCAATCTCACAATTCAGCCTATCAAAGTCTGTACTTCCAGGCAGACTTGGGGAAAGAAATAGGAGTGATTGTTCTTACAGGGAAGCTTTGGCAGAGCAAAGTACATTACACATCTTCGGCTCCAAATTTCCCCAACACACATACATGCATTTTTGCCGGAAATATTATCAAAGGGCTTACCCTTTCAACCATCCCTGTGAACTGCAGATGCTTGCTAAAAATTTTTACATCAGGCTTTTGGTGACCACCTGGCTTCTGGGTGCCAAGGGAGCTGACGCACAGTTTAAATGGCAATGAATCGAGTGTGCCTATTTGGGGATATGCATTTTTTAATGCTTTTCTTCTTCCATCCTTAGCATAAACCCAAAACAAAACCCACTGCTATCAAGTCCATTCTGACTCATAGTGAGACCCTGTAGGACAGAGTAGAACTGTCCCATAGGGTTTCAAAGGCAGTAAATCTCTATGAAAATACACTGCTTCATCTTTATCTCTCAGAGTGGCTGGTGAGTTCAAACCACTGACATTTTGGTTAGCAGCCTAATGTCTTAATCACTGCCCCACCATAGCTCCTTTGTATCCTTAGTATATGCCAGAGATAAAAGCTCCATATCCAATTTGGATTGCCTCCAGTTTAAAGGCCAATGTGAGCAAGTTTGTCTATTTGGGGGTATATATTTTTTAATGCTTTTCTCCTTCCATCCTTAGTATATGCCACAGATAAAAGCTCCTTATCTAGCTTGGATTGCCTATCCAGCATAGTGGATCGGATCACCTCCTCAGAGCAACCTGGGTTGCCTTTCCAGGACCCTGCCTCTCTCTCCCCAGTGGCCAGCATCGACTCACAGCCTGCAACTCCAGGGGCCTCTAGTTCCAGGCTCATCTATCATGTGCTATGAACTAAAAATCTAGTCTAGATAAATTCTGCATGGAGGGCTTGTTACACAAGGAGGATGGAGTTGCAAAAAGTCCAAAAGCAAGACAACTTGTACATAAAAATTTCCTTTCAGTTGTAAATTTGTAAATACTATCTTGCCACTTTATAAGAAAATGTATTTAACTGAAAAGTCACTATTGCAAATAATACTTTTCTTTATTTCTTTCTTTGTTTTGTTTTAGGTATATAGTTTCAATAATATTGTGTCTGATAGGGAGCTATTCAATCGAAGGTAGCTTGTGGCAATGTTTAACTTATATATTGCTAAATACTGCTTATCAAAATAGTATATCTGGCATTTAGATCTTCATTTTTTTCCTCCAAAACATTAGAATATCTGGGAATCATTACAGTGAACTTTAAATATATTTATCTTTTACTTTTTATTCCTTTGGTTATATTGTATTAAATAAAAACATAACAATACTGCCAAATGCTATACATTTTTAACTTTTTTTAATAAGAAATGCATCATTTGGACAT